CAGGCAGAGGGAGAAGCAGACTCCCCATGAGGAGCCCGATGCGGGACTTGATCCCTGGACTCCAGGATCACACCCTGGGCTGAAGGTGGAGCTAAACCACTGAGCCACCTGGGCTGGCCCTATTTTTCTTTTTTTTAAAGAAAGAAGTCTACTTTATATTTCCTGCACTCCGTTGTCTGACTTAGGAATAGATATTTGTAGGCATCGATTGCATTTTTCTGGGATGGATGGTGACCGACTCGTTCTGATTTGCATGGGTTTCTCCCAGTTTTAGTGCTGAAAGTCAGGGCCCCTGGGTTCCCATCCTAAGCAAACCTACACCAGTGGGCGACCCAGTTGGTGACCCACCAGGAAGCATTATTTAACCTGGAAAGAGGCTAATGGTTCCCGAATTTTGCTCCCACATTCATAAATCTGATTGGAAAATAATGGAGAGCATCAAATTACGGAGAAACCTTCACTGTTGCAAAGGCCAAGGAATAAGTGTTTCGCAGGCAGAGGGGCGCACATTGCCTCTTGCCCTGGAAATTATGGGCCTAAAACCTAAGAAAGGAGCAGTGAGCTCCTTCAGGCCCCTGGGGGGCCCACTTGCACACTTCCGGCCCATTTCCACCTCCCAGGGCCGCCCTCCTGCGAGGGACCTGCCTTTGAAATGATCCCTGACCCCCCCCTCCCCGGTGTTCCCTGCAGTGACTCGAATCTTCTATCAGTGGAAGTGCAAGACTATTTTTACCTCAGTGTTGGGGTCTCTCTGGGCACAAACTGTCTGCAGATTAGGTAAATTACAGGTCTTGGGGTTCATGTGACCCACTGAGCTGTGGCCAGTGGAAAGCATGCATCAGCCTCTTCTGGATCTTCCCTTGCTGTCAGCCTCTAGTCTGTGGGCCTCGCTCTGGGGGCCTCTCTAGCTGACACTTCTTCCCCAGGCAGGCTGGATGCCCTTCTGTTCCTCCTGCGTCTCTCCTTTCCCGCCCCCCTCCTTTCTTCTGTCCTATTTTGTCTCCCCTCCCTGTTTTCACCGCTGCCTCTGCTGGGCCCTCAGGCCTGCTTCCTTGGCCATAACCCGAAGGCCTTCTTGGAACCCAACTCTGTGGACAGTAGAGCCATGTGCCTTGATACGACCCACAAAAACCACTTCACCGGTTTCTATCAAACCATCATCATTGGTGGCCTTTTCTTCCTCGAGCTTCCTGCTCCTGTCATCACCCCCTTGAACTTACAGGTTTGCTAAAAATCTTCAGCGTGCTCCCTGGAAATACCAAGGTCACACCCCAGGGACTTCTAGCCCCAAACCATCCTTCCCAATTGGTGATAGACTCATCATCGTTCCCTAGCTTCCAGCCATACTCTCTCCTCCAAAGTTCCTCCTTCTGTGACTCATTTGTGTGATTTATTTATTTTTATTTTTATTTATTTATTTATTTATTTATTTACTTATTTATTGATTTAGTCAGCGGCTGTCCCCCAGGAAACCAGAGATTGGTTGAGGGCATAGATACATGCAGCGCAGCTCTTGGAGTCATGAGGTTCAGTAGTTTCACTTCCAGTATACCATTAACATAAATCAATCCCAAAATTCATCTTAAATGCCTGTCCCACCAAATCTAGGCACTTCACCTAATTTTCTCTGGCGACGTCAACCAGCCCTTGTGAGCCGGGTAGGGGAAGGGGTGAAATAGCATCTGCTGAGTGCTCTCCTCATCACGGACTCAACAGTTTATCATTTCACCTTTGGTCAATGACACACCTGTGATGGACGTGTTATATATGCCAATTGATGTCTTATGAAAACTGAGGCTCAGAATAGATCATTAAGATCATTAAGAATGGCTAGAAGGGCGTCCGGTGGTTCAGTCAATTAAGTGTGGACCTTGGGCTCAGGTAATGGTCCTGAGAGTCCTGTCCCCCTGCTCAGCAGAGAGGGGAGCCTGTTGCTCCCTCTCCCTCTACCCTTCCCCCTCCACTCACGCGCTCTCTCTCCAAAAATAAATAAATAAATAAATAAATAAATAAATAAAATCTTAAAAGATTTAAAAAGAATGGCCAGAACTTCTGTCTCACTCCAAAGTTGTTGTTCCGCTGTTTACGTCACCTTGCAAGGCTCATGCCGCAATCCACCATTGACTGAGTGGCCATAATCCCTTCCCTCCCACTCCTTTTCACAGAGAAGAACTGGATATAATGGAGCTTTTGTGCAGATGATGGGAAGAAAATGTATTTACAAATAATTAAGCATGAAGTAAGAATAACAAGGTGGTAAGCTGTCTGAAAACTCTCAACTTTATCACTAACCTAGTTTCAGCTTTTGTTACAAAGGAACTCTAGGTCCCTGAAGTGAAATAATCGCTCCTTGATGTTATTATTCTCGCATTGCTATTAATTTTTCCATAATTTCTATAACTGCATCTGTGCTATTTTAAAGTTTGGAGGATTTCAGTTTACACAAACCTGTTCTGACTACTTGCCAAGGTCTGTGTCTCCCAAGTTCTGCTGAGAAATAATGCAATTGCAATTACAGGCATCTCATATTCTGTAAACAGTTCGAGTTCCAAGAGTTCACCAGTTAGTTGTTTGGAATCACTGTGTATTTTCCCATTACCTAATCTAGTAATGGGTGGTTATTTCCCAAGCTGGCATTTCCTTTTTCTCTCCTCCCACCTCCACCCCCAGCCCCCCAAACAACAACAAAAGAAGGAAAAGTCCCTTTTGACCAAAGAGAACAACAACAACACTAAATTATATTGGCCTGAGTTCTAGAGAGTGTTGGGAAGGCGGGGGGGGGGGGGGGGGGGCGGGGTTAATTTAATAAGGAGCAACAATTCTGAAGTCAAGTTTGAAATCACACAAAGAAATGCCGCCCCTGTCTGGGAGGTTACTATTGATCAGCACCTCAAAGCTTTTTCTACTTTCTAGAATCTTCTCTTTCTACATTTTTAATTCGCTGCTTCTCCAGGGACAACACTTGGATGAGGGAAAAATAAAAAGGAAAGTGCTCATTTTCACATTCTCTTGCAGACTCTCCCACATCTAACTCTTAAAATCAACAGAGTCTCAGAATGGTCCCACCTTACAGTTACTTCTATTATCCAAGCAATGAAATTCCTTAGAAGTGGTGTTTTTCTTTTCTCATTTGTTGCCTATACCTAATTCCAGCAGCGAAAGTAATTTTATAGAATATGCAACATTTTTGAAGGGACTGCACAATTTGCAAAACTTCATCACTACCTTTGACGTCTTTTGTTACCGTATCAATTTTATGTATAAAAAAAGCGAGAAATTGAGATAGTAGAACTAAGTCTTCACAAGCTAAAATGACTGTGACCTAAGCCTTCCACACCCCAAATTGAGGACTATTTCTCACATTTTTTTTTTTATCTCTTAGTCATTTTCATTCACCCGTCTAGATTCAAATTCCATGAGAAAATGGGTCAGTTTTTTTTTTTTTTTACTGTTTTATCCTCATCCCCCAGGACACTATCTGGCATTTGGTAGGTATCCCCAAAATGTTGAATAAATGAATTTCAGATACTGTTACCTTATTTATCTCTGCAAAAATGTTATATACTTTTACTGGTTAAAAATGACTTTGCAAATTATCTTCACATTATAAGGTGCATCATTCAGTGTGGTTAAGAACATGGGATAATTTTCCATAATGGATGTTAGAGTATCCCCTGAGTTGTTAGAGCCTCCAATCTGCTGTCTTAACTGCTAATATTAGCAACCAGCCCTGCTAGAAATAGGAGAAAAAGTCACCAAACAGGTAATGACTTCTTCATTAAGATCATTAAATGATTCTTCAAAAACATAAAAATGGTTCTCAAACTTGTTAGGAAATTACTCTACTGCACAATAACAAAAACATAGAAACAGCCAAAAGTGTCGGAACATAACACCTGAAGCCTGTGGCTCGATAGGAAAAGGTTGTGAAGAACGATCTTCTGGAATAAATGACTTAACCTAAAAATGTAGCTAGTTCCTACATTAACCATTAATCCCTCCATTTAAAAAAAAAAATGAAGTCATAGTGAACACAGCCTATAATTATCCCTACTTGAGGACAGAAGAAGAAGACCTTATGTTTCCCTCTACTGACTATAGAGGCCAAAACCAAGGTTGACTGTCATCCCAAAGGCCATTTGGAGGTGAAGGGTGTCCTTCCAGAGCTCTGGGAGGGAAGAGGAAAGAAAAGAAACAGGAAAAGAAAAGAATGCAGTAATAAAAGAGAAACAAGAACCCCTCTGCCATAGCTGTGCTTTATTTCCTTCATAAGAAAGGCCTTAGCCGTGGACACAGCCTTATTATGCTTTAAATGCTCACCAATGCTCATCCAGCAGCTGATCTAAGGCTAGTGCCTCACCTGCAGGAGACCGTGGGCGTCAACCCCCGATAAAATTCTACAGGGCAACTGCTCTTCTCTTGGTAGTTGTCCATGTGCATATAAAGAGAAATTAAGTCAGCCAGGACTTGAAGGCAATTGAGACACCTGTCCCAATCACCATGCTCCTGAGTATTGGACCCTGGCAGGCTGCAATCAAAATTTCCGTTTCCTGGCTTGTGCCTTGCTGGCCACCTCTCTCATCTGAACCCTGCGCAACAACTCATTTGGAGTCCGTGGATACCAAGAATGTGAACAATCAAGCCCACGAGCAAGCGAGCGAGCGAGCGAGCACAGTGTGCAGGGCAGGGGCCAGAGCACCTGGGGGAGGGGCCCTCAGAGAATCCTGAAATACCAAGGAGCCAGGGTGTGAGTCTCCTCTCCGCTAAAACTGGTTTGCAAAGAGAAGTGATGCCAGGGATTGCGACCCCATCCTCCACCCCACCCCCGGCCTCACTGGTGCTGCAACGCCATGGAGCGGTGCAGAGTTCAGATCCTGGGTGCCACCCACTCCCCACCCCAAAAAAAAGACAGCCAAGGAAGGAACCTGAGCACCCTCCAGCCACCCCTCCGGCGCCCAAATCATGTCACAGCCTTCACAAAAGAGAGGAAAGAGATTTACCTGCTGCTACTGAGGCTGAAGCCTGAAAGCCATGTATGACCTTTGAAGGACTGTAATGGTTTTAATCAGAGCCATAGCATCTTTTTGACAGACAGACAGACAGGACAGAGGGAAGAGCTGAACCACTCTGCAAATATTAACCGGGCTATTTTGGAGCAATGGCTATTGCCTCTGAAATCTTTCATCATGGGTCTATACTTAGAATTCAGATGAGCCTGGGGGAGGGGAATGGAGCAGCGTTAATCCCCAGTTGTTTTTGAAGTTGCCCCGTAAACAGGTTAGCATCTCAGCTGTCTTCAAAGGAAGCCCTCGGTGCTTTCTTTACATTGGAGGCTTCTCCCCGAGTCCCTTGTTGTAACCTGTTGGGCCTACGGATCGCCCATGGTCCCGGAGGTGACACTTCTCAGTTTTCTTTCAAACTAGATATTCTGGACAGTGAGCCCTGGCTGTGATCACATTGGGAGACTGATGCTCCATGACAGCTAAAAGTTGGATTGAGTTTCAGGAGCTACTATATATAAAGCTGGGGCCACTTATGTCACCGCACTAATTAAATGCCATCTGGGTGGTTCCTCTGGGTTTTTGAGCCCATCACCCAGTTCAGACCGAGTCAGAGGCCAAGGAGGAGAACATGATGATGGACCTTTTTGAAACTGGCTCCTATTTCTTCTACTTGGACGGGGAAAATGTTACCCTGCAGCCATTAGAAGTGGCAGAGGGCTCGCCTTTGTACCCAGGGAGTGATGGTACCTTGTCCCCCTGCCAAGACCAAATGCCCCCGGAAGCTGGGAGCGACAGCAGCGGGGAGGAACACGTCCTGGCGCCCCCCGGCCTGCAGCCCCCCCACTGCCCCGGCCAGTGTCTGATCTGGGCCTGCAAGACCTGCAAGAGGAAATCTGCGCCCACCGACCGGCGCAAAGCCGCCACCCTGCGCGAGAGGAGGCGCCTCAAGAAGATCAACGAGGCCTTCGAGGCGCTCAAGCGGCGCACGGTGGCCAACCCCAACCAGCGGCTGCCCAAGGTGGAGATCCTGCGCAGCGCCATCAGCTACATCGAGCGGCTGCAGGACCTGCTCCACCAGCTCGATCAGCAGGAGAAGATGCAGGAGCTGGGGGTGGACCCCTTCAGCTGCAGACCCAAGGCGGAGAGCGTGAGCCCGGGAGGCCGGGAGGGGGGCGCCCTCGGGGCCTGCAGCCCAGCCCAGCCGCTCCCTCTCCCTCCCCCTCTCCTCTCCGATGGGCACCCCCCGACCTCAGGGTGCCCCTCGGGGCCTCCCCGCCCAGCGCTCCGTTCCCTCCCCCTCCCCTTCTTCTCTCCAATGAGCCCCCGCTGACCCGTGACCTCGGGGTGCCCCTCGGGGCCTGCGCCCCAGCCGTTCCGTCTCCCTCCCCCTCCCCTTCTCCTCTCCAATGATCCCCCCCCCCTGTGACCTCGGGGTGCCCGCAGCGGGCCGGACATTGGTACCCGGCCCGAGGAAGTCGGGGAGCCGCCCCCCCAGGTGCGCCCGCTCGCTCCGGGAGCCGAGCCTTCCGCCCTAACCCTGCGCCCCCGGGTTCCCTCGCAGCTGGAGGGGGCGGACTTCCTGCGCACCTGCAGCGCCCAGTGGCCAAGTGTTTCGGATCATTCCAGGGGGCTCGTGATCACTGCCAAGGAAGGTAGGGAACGCGAGGGCGCCGGCCGCGGGGTGGGGGGGTGAGGGTGGGGGTGAGGGTGGGGGGTCCCCGGGGGGGCGGGGGCGGGGCGCCGGCCTGCAGGGCAGGTGCGTGTCTTTCCGCGCTCAGGAGGAACCCCGAGCGGGGACCCGCCGGCCTCCAGCAGCCTCCGGTGCCTGTCTTCCATCGTGGACAGCATCTCCTCGGAGGAGCGCAAGCTGCCGTGCGCCGAGGAGGTGGTGGAGAAGTAGCCCGCAGCGCAGGCTGGGCCGCGTCCACGCCCCCCCCCCACACACACACACAGTGGGTCACCCTACACCTGCTGCAGAAACCCGCACCCAGGAGCGAGCGCAGGGCAGGGACACCTGGGGGGGGGGGGGACACTTCTCAGAAACTGTCCTGCGCTCCAAGGGCGAAGCCTCCGGCTTTGGAAGCGAGTGGCTTAGGTCTAGCAGGCTGCTTGGGCTTCGTGTGCTTAGTTGTGTAACGTGTTACTTTGGTGACGGTGCCCCTTCTGGGCCACACTCAAAAAAAAAAAAAAAAAAGAAAAAGAAGTTCATTCCTGTCTCAAGCGACGTGGGAACGTTAGTGGTACTGAATGTATTTTGTAAATGATCTTAGGACTCTTTCTTTTTTATGTAAACCTAAGAAATATATTTTAAATGTGGAGTGACGGGGTGCATATGACATGTGCGAGGATCCTGACACTGTCATATTAAAAAAGCGAAGTTTCTTTATGAACAAAGTTGGTCCTGATTTGATTCAACTCATCGACACATGGGGGAGGGGGGCAGCTGGGCAGGCACAGAAATCCAGGGAAGCCCGCGGGCCTTGTAACTCAGATGACACCCAAGCCCGTTTATTGGGGTGTGTTCCTAAAGGCTGGTTTAAAAGGGAAGAAAATGTGTGGCTTTCCTCTGTCTGCATTTCTGTCTCGGAGGGACCTCACCCCTGTGGTTACAAGTGAGGCAGAGCCAGGACTGTCCCCTTTCCCCCTTTATCAGCATCCCTTTTCTGTTTGCCCTATCCCTGGAGGCCTGAGTGAGCTTTCCTGAGCCAAAGTTTGCAATCCCGTAAGAGAGTGCCACACAAGTGGCACTGCCTGAAAGGGCCATGAGCTAACGTAGCCCCAAATGCCTTTCCCTCCTTGACTTTCCAGGCCTGGCCTTCCACGGAGAAGCCTTGGTCAGAGTCTGCAGGAGGCGCCCTGGCCTCCCAGCCAGGTTGGGGGTGCCCCTCCCTAGTTTTCTTGAACTAGACTGGAGGTTAGAAGACTGCACCAGCCTCCATGGGCGGCTGGGGTTTGTTTTGCAGATAGGAAGATTAAAGAAGGGAACAGTTTGTCCCTTGAGGTGGGGTGGGCTGCTCCCTGGACCGGGTGCTTCAAGGCAGGGAAGGGTTAATGGCTGAGGGCAAAAGGCAACCACAACACACATGAAACCTCTTAGCTGGACCAAACAGCAAGGCCCCCAGAGGGGCTCCTCACTGCCACGATTTTACAACGTGTGCCAGGTTTGTTTATCCTGTAACTTCAGGAAGAAGCGACCACCAAGAATCGCAGTGGGGAGTGAAGCAGAAGAGAGGCCAAGCCCTTCCTTGGAGTACTTGCTGCTCACCTTCTGTCAGGGGCACCTTCATCCAGCACCCCTCCCCATTCTCAACTGCTTCCTTCCCTCTGTTGCTCCGCAGCCAGTGCTCGGTCTTCGAGTGTGAGAATCTAATCGAATTCAATATTCCCCAGCCCAACGTTGCTTCCTGACAGCCCTGTCCGGACGTTGGGGTTGCACACTGCAGAAGTCCCAGCTACCACCACGGACAGCGCCTCCTGCAGGCATGGAGCAGTAGCCTGCCCCTTTTCTGTCTCTTGAAGGCCTCTCTCTGGGGGTAAGGGTCACTTTGTCTTCTGAGCACCTGGATGATTCTCTTTTCTCCTAGAACACTTACCAAAGCACAGAAAGGTCCCTAGAGGCAGCTGACCCCGACACATAAGCTCTCCCAGTGGTTTGGGAAAAGCAGGCGGGAGTGCTCGGGCTGTAACTGCTGAGTTGCTGGGGGCACTGCCTGCTGAGCTGGAAGCCAGGTTGCTACTGCGGAGCCTTGGCTGTCCCAGCTCCTCTCTGCTTCCAGTTTCCTCATTTGTGAAATCGTGGTGACAACAGCAATGGTGCCTAACTCAGGGGTGTGAAGATTTCAGCGAGATACACACAGAAAGGGTTTATAGCCAAAGCACAGCACCAAGTCCATACTAAATGTCAGCTCTCCCTTTTTTCCTTACACTGACCATCAAAAGGCTTCTCTTCCACCAAAAGCCACAGTTCTTCAAATACTGTTTGCTGCCTTGCCGGCACTGTTTGGGGGAAATTATTCATGACAGGGAATTCAGTAGCAATATGAGTGACTCTTAGCATTTTACATATGAACTCATAATCCTACAATGACTTCTGTGAAAGAAACTTGTATTTCTTTTGAGAAAAGGTTTCTTTGGAACTGAAGAGTTTCTTGCATTAGTAAGTGCAGAGCCAGGGCTTTGAGCCAGTGAATATCAGTGGCTTCAAGCTTGTTTTCTCAATCGCCCTGCACCCTGGAAGAGAAGCCTTAGCAAATAAGAAAAATTGGCCTAGAAAAATTGGGCTCTCTTTAGCAATTGTTTTCCAGAGGTTCTTTCTCAAAAGTGACTAGCTAGTGAACTCCAAATTAGGGCGTAAATTAATTAAAGATAAGCAGTAGAGCATTTCAAATTATCCAATCAGAACATGTATGAATATGAATATGTTTGAATGGTGTGTACATTCATTAATCATGGATCTGCAATTTTTTTCTAGAGAATCAATAGTTTCCCTAAAATGTGTATGTCTATATATGCATTGTATGTATACACATTACATATTATATATATGTAATATATATAAAATAAAGATGTGCCTAAAATATAGGTATATATATGTGCCGCAGATTCATGCCACAACTGAAATCAAATATCAGAATTAACCAGGTGAATTCATTTACTTCATGACTGCACGTGTATTTATAGTAAGATCTGTGTTATAAACTGTTTAGCAGCAGAATTTTTTTTTTTTAATCAATTCACGGACTTTATTTGCTGATGGATTCTATTCAGTCTTCGCAAACCAAATCTTCTCTATCTCTCCTAGCTAGGTAACTTGAGAAATTGTTTGGAATAAGTTTGCCTATAGAGGTCTCTTCGTTAAATAGAGCAAATATTTCCCAAAGATTTCATGTGACCTCCACTGCTATAGTTGACATATGAGGCTTTCCAATGAAATCCTTGGTGTGTTTGCAATTAAAATGTTTTTATTTGAAATTAATGATGATAATCTTTACTAAAGCCACAGCCAAAACAAACAGGGCCATGGAAGCAGAAAATCAAGATATAATAACTTAGTGAAGATAAGCAATTTGGCATTTAAACTGAGCCTGTTTTCCAGAGGTAGGCATAGAGTTGTCAAATATTTTTAAAATGAGTTCTTTTCTTTTCTTTTTATAGCACTATACAAATAATTTATGTCAAATGTCAGCTTTTTCAAACTAACTTTAATCATCACACCTGAAGCATCAAATTCCAAACCCAAACATAATGGAAATTCACTTATATCTAATGGCATTATATATATTATACATATATATATATTAGACTATATTAATATATATTAGACTCCTTCATATGTATGGGGGAGGGGAGCATGGTGCTGAAATTCAGTGCTCAATGTTCTCAACTACTGTTGAGTTTGCCAGAGAAGTTCTGGGTTACTAAAGTGCACTCTATCCTTACTAAGACATTTTTGACTCCAAGTTAGAATATAGCCATTTGTGCTTTTCTCTTAATAAGTAAGATTTTATATCATTTATTTATCTCCAAACTCTCATCCCAGAACACACTACCTGGAAAGAAAATATTTTAAGAATATTTGAGTTTAAACTCTGAATATCTCATTTCCTAACCTAATGCATTAGTAAATTAGCAATAACACAGTGCTTCCTCAAAGAGCCAAGCCAACCAGACATTTCCCCCAAAAGACCCTTCCACTCACTCCCTTAAACTCAAAAGCAGTGCTAACAAAAGACCCCTCAGCCCCAGAGGTTTCATTCTGAAAAAGCAATGTTTTGCAAGCCTAGTTCAGAGTCAGCTTGGCTTCTCAGTTCAGAATGGCTATGCCATGTGCTGAAACAAAGATAATGCTGCAAGGACTGGCTCCTTTCTCTACTCTCAAGGCTGCTCAAAGTCCCTTCATAGGCCTTTGATCTCTCCTGGGAGTCTTCGAATTCAAGCCGAGGCCAATGTCTTCCTCAGCTGTCTTCTCCACAAATTCTTCCAGCAGCTTTGGCAGGTACTAATGTGTTTACTTAGGTGTGCCCCGTTCCCAGAGCTAACAGCAGTTTGAAATTGTTTAGCACATTGTGAAGTCATATATGATAAGCAAAAATCTCTAGAACCACTCCCTTTGTCCAGGAGTTGATAAAGGGTCGCAGATAGAGGCAGACGTGAATTGAAATGGACTTCTCTTGCTATGTGTATTTGGTTTCTCCCGCTGAGAGAAGCATAGAAAAATTTGCAATAATGCCGAATTCCTAGGGTAGGCAAAGTTTCCTAGGAAAGGAAGCTGGGAGCATCATTCCGCTGGTGGGGTCTGTCCATCAACACTAGGATTGTTGCCATAACACTTAAACTAAAATAGGTTCTCAGAAAAAAAAAGAAGGTTGGTGATTACTTACGGGTCTATGCAGTTAAAACCTGCTGAGTCTAAATTGTAAGAAAAATCAAAACATGCATTTATTTTCCTTCAGAATGTCAAGTGAAAAAAATTTTAAAACTATCGATAGATTTGAACCTTGGGTGGCATTCACTTATAACACGATGCATGGCTTGTCCTCCTTCCCCGCCTACTGAGAGGCTTTCCCTATAGTCACGGTTGGAATGCGGGTTCCTCGGGGCGCAGTTGCCCCCTAAATACACGGGAGCCTCCCCTGCACGGAGAAAATCCACTTCCCTGAAGAAAGAGTGGGAAACAGGTTGTATTTTTATTCTTTTCTACGAGGACCAAAAGTCAGTCTGTTCTGATTTTGAGTAAGAGCACCCAAATAGTCAGTAGCACTCTCTCTCTCTCTCTCTCTCTTCTCTCTCTCTCTTTTAGTGATTTTCAACTTTTTTTTCATCATTATTTTCCCCACTCAAAACCATTTTTTTCTCTGCATCGCTCACCCAGTTTTCTCATTTTCTCTTACACAGTATCCCCCTCGGAAGAGCTGCAGAAACTCTCCCGACCTGGGGGACCAGACACTGGCTTCCTTCCCTTCCTTCCCTCTTTGTAGACTTGTGTTTTTTGTTTGTTTGTTTGTTTGTTTGGGGGGTTTTTTGTATTTTTTTGTATTTTTTGTATTTTTTGTTGTTGTTCTTTCTCTCTCTCTCTCCCTCCCTCCCTAGCCCTGGACAGCGGCCTAAGTCAGGTCCGTTCCTTCCCCTGCTATTTCGAGCTCCCGTCCTCAGCGCTGGAGTCCCAAGGGCCCCGCCCTGGTCACGCCCCCAGCCAGTCCCAGGTCGGGGCGCTGGTGTCCCCGCGGCCCTCTGGCCCCGCCGCCCCGAGGTCACCTTACCCGGCACAGACCCGGGCCCTGGGAGCCGCGGTGGCCGCACCCCCCTGCGGGTCTCCGCTCCTCGGGCTGCGGGTGGGGCTCCCAGGGCGACCCTAGGGTGCCCGGGGGCGGGGCGGGGGGCGAATTCCCTGCCCTTGGAGCTCCCTCCTGGGGCCCCTCTTGCAAAACCAGGGTCATTGAGAGGAGGAAATGAATGAACACCTGCCAGGCGGTGACCACACTGCTTGGCAAATAGGAAAAGGTCTTAATAAGTGTGTGCATGGAACGTCCTGCACCGCAGGTGGGGGGTTGGGGGAGTCCCTAGCGTGCTGGGGGCCTGGTGTCAAGAAATCAGCTGACGGGCCAGTGCAGCACACCTTCCACTTGGGGCTGACTGGTGCCCGCAGCATGCATCTGGGCTAACATCTGCCCTGCGGAGCTAGGGAAAGTGGGGGTGCTGCGTGTTGGAGCTCCAAGCGCCCTGGGGGAGACCATCTCCCCACGTGGTGGGACTTGCCCCCCCCCCCACTGTGGGGTTGGAGTCCTCCATTCCCCTGGGTCCTTTAGGAACTTGACTCTGGTATCTAGCGGAGCCCTGGGTACCCTGTTCATGTCAAAGGCATCCCCTGGGTGATGGTCCTAAGTAAGGTGCAGGCAGATGCCCCCCACGCCCCAATGAGGCAGCCCACTGGTGTGAAAGGGAGCGTGATTCTCAAGGCCCTGGTGGTGTCTGTGTCTTAGGGATGAATGAGTGTGGGAAAGGGGGGCAGAGCACACACACACACACCCATGTTGTAGCTAACCTTAGTGACACCTTAGTGATGGACACTCCTCGGAGTCTTCACTTTGGAGAGGGCAACTCACCCTGAAAAAATTGGAGCTTCTCTGACCCCTGCAGACTTGGGGTGAGCCAGCCAGGGTTGCTTGCAGAAAATAACTTTAGGCATAAATAATAGAAAAGAACGTCCCCTTTCACCAAACTCTGGAGCCACAATCTCTTAGGGGAGTGGGTGACTCCAGATGGAGAGGAGAACACTCCCTCCTATTTTAATGGGGTCACAAGCCCTGGTGCCTAGACCTCAAGTCCTGGCTTTTCCTGTACACAGACAGCACTCCCTGCCTCCCACCTGCACCCAGGGGGTCTGGAAGTGGGGTGAAGGGTGGAAGAGCACCGGCAGAGGCCGATTCATAGGTTCAGTCCTACATCAAGGGAAGCCCTCCCCTCCCTGCTTCTACCCACCAAGGCTCCAAAGACCCCGCTGCGATTGCTTTTCTGGAAGAGGCTTTGGTCGCCAACGTGGTGTGAAGTCTCTCAAGGCCTGAGCTGGAAATGTTACACGAGCGAGCGCAGGACGGCGGGGCCCGGCAGCTGGGATGCATCTGTAACGGTGTTAGTTGCCCTGAAAGCAGAAAATTAGCGACCCCGCAGCCCGGCCTGGCTGTTTAGTCTGTGGCACTGGCAGGGCGGAGCGGAAAGGGGAGAAAGGCAGCCGGGCCCTGGAGGGAGGGAGGCGTCGCCCCTGGAGCTCGGTCCTGGGCCGCCCCCGGCCCCGCAGAGGCCCGACCCCAGGAGGAGGCGCCCGGGAGCTGGTGCAGAAGGGGGCTGGGGGGGGGGGCGGGCCTCGGAAGGACACCCCCCCCCCCGCCCCATCGCGGAGCCCCGGGCCCTAAGGTGACTTTCTCATGGCAACACCACCGATGTTTAAGAACTAGCTTCACTCCACGATTCAGAGGGTCGCCTCCAAGCTTTTAGCAACCGTTATTCGATCCACTGATGGGGGGGGGGGGACCAAAAAACAAAAAACAAACAAAAAAACAACAACAACAAAAAAAAACAAATCCCTGAGCTAACTAAAGTTCGTGTAGAGCACAGAAAGCACCTAAAAATAAGGTGCGTGCTCACGTCCAGGATCGGGAAGGCAGGGAGGCGCCTTGGGGCGAAGCTTTTAGGTCCGAGCGGCTCCGAAGAGTCGGACAGACTTCGTCCCTTTGCACGCGTCTTTAAGTGACCCCGGGGTCCAGGGGCTCCAGGGAGTGCACGCAAGGGCGGGGGGGGGGCGCACCCCGCCGAGGCCCCGCCGCAGGAAAACCATTAGTCCGAGGGGCGGTAAACAGCAAATCGGCTCCCGGGCCGCGGCGGGATATGCTAATAGTGCGGGGCCGCGGGGGCGGCCTCCCTCCCTCCCTCCCCGGAGTATATAAGGAGCCCCAAGCCCCGCTCACCCGGCCCGGGCCCCAGGCGCTCGCCCCGCGGAGCTGCGGAGCCCCGACCCAGCCGCCCGCGCAGGCGGCGTCTCTCCGTCTCTCCCGTCTCTCCTGTCTCTCCCCTTTCTCCCCATCTCTCCCATCATCTCTCCCCATCTCTTCCATCTCTCCCAATCTCTCCCATCTCTCCCTTTTCTCTCCATCTCTCCCCATCTCTCCCATCTCTCCCCATCTCTCCCATCTCTCCCATCTCTCCTGTCTCTCCCCATCTCTCTCATCTCTCCCCATCTCTCCCTTTTCTATCTCTCCCCATCTCTCCCATCTCCCCCATCTCTCCCATCTCTCCCCACCTCTCCCATATCTCCCCATCTCTCCCCATCTCTCCCATATCTCCCCATCTCCCCATCTCTCCCCATCTCTCCCATATCTCCCCATCTCTCCCCATCTCTCCCATATCTCCCCATCTCTCCCCATCTCTCCCATATCTCCCCATCTCTCCCATCTCTCCCATCTCTCCCCATCTCTCCCATCTCTCTCCATCTCTCCCATCTCTCCCGCCTCTCCCTCCCCCCTCTCCTGCCTCTCCCCCCTCTCCTCTCGCCGCCACTCCCGGGCGCACGCACCCCTGGCTTCAGCATGGACGTGATGGACGGCTGCCCCTTCTCGCCCTCCGAGTACTTCTACGACGGCGCCTGCATCCCGTCCCCCGAGGGCGACTTCGGAGACGAGCTGGAGGCCAGGGGGGCCGCCTTCGGGGCGCGCAGAGCGGCGCTGCCGGGCCCCGACGAGGACGAGCACGTGCGAGCCCCCACGGGCCACCACCAGGCGGGCCACTGCCTCCTGTGGGCCTGCAAGGCGTGCAAGAGGAAGTCCACGACCACGGACCGGCGGAAGGCGGCCACCATGCGCGAGAGGAGACGCCTGAAGAAGGTCAACCAGGCCTTCGAGACGCTCAAGAGGTGCACCACGACCAACCCCAACCAGCGGCTGCCCAAGGTGGAGATCCTCCGGAACGCCATCCGCTACATCGAGAGCCTGCAGGAGCTGCTGCGCGAGCAGGTGCAGACCTACTTGGGCCTGGCGGCGCCCAGCTGCTCCGAGCCCACCAGCCCCACGTCCAGCTGCTCCGACGGCCTGGTAGGAGCCCCTGCACCCCCCTTAGCCCCAGTCAGTAGTTACCGGTGGAGAGGGGGGTGCCCGAGGGCAGGGGGGCTTGCCTCACTGGAAGGGTGCCAGGCAACAGCTGTCGAGCGGGATGTCCGCTTGCCCTCAGCCCAGGTTCTCAGAAGGTCGGAGGGAGGGTGGGCATGCGAGCGAGGTGGCCAGTGACCGGTGACACGTTTGTGCCCCCGGCCTGGTCCCTGCCCTGCTGAGGCCCTGCTGGAGAGAGATGGGGCTGCATTCTTCTCAGAGGGCCTTTGCTCCGTCCCTGCCAGGTTTTAATGGGTTTTTGCCCTGGGAAAGTATTCTCTCCCTGAATCACTGTGGCTTCCTTCTGCCCCAATCCATTTTGCATGGTTAACCCCACGCACATTGCTGCTGAATTCCACCCCCGCCAGCCTCCCCTTGCCGGGCCCTCTCCTCCTCCAGCCGCAGAGTCTGACCTCGCAGCCCTTAGGACCTGGGGAGGTCACGAAGGGGATGGAGGGGCCCCCACCCCCCGCGGACCTAGTGGTCAAGCACAGGTCGGAGCATCTTCTGCCAAACCCTGCAAACACACTTGCTTTGTGTCTTGTGTCGCAGCCCGAATGTAACAGCCCTGTCTGGTCCAGAAAGAGCAGCAGTTTTGACAGCATCTACTGTCCTGATGGGCCAAATGGTAAGAATTGGTGGGACCTCAGAGGAGTTTAAGAATCAGGTGGACTTCGCAGTCGGGCCTGTCAAAGCAGTCTGGTTTCCCAGGCTGTACTGGAGAAGGGAATACAAAGGATGCTTCCTATGGGGAGGTTTTGGCACAATCACGCACATCTTTTGGTCAAAACCCCCCTCACAGACGCACACATGTGTACTTTTGCTGGCAATTTTACTAGGGGGCTTCTCCGCCCCCTGCGTTCACGCCCATGAGTGGCTGGATATTTGTTGCAAATGTCCACGTCCGGCTTTCTGTGACCACCTGACCTCTGGGGGTCAAAGTTGCTGACCTATACTGTTTACAGGGCCAGAAAGCCAGTCTCTCTATCTGGGATTTTTTTTTTTTTTAATGGTTTTCTCCTTGTGTTCTTAGTATATGCCACAGATAAAAGCTCCTTATCCAGCTTGGATTGTTTATCCAGCATAGTGGATCGAATCACCAACTCCGAGCAACCTGGATTGCCTCTCCAGGACCCGGCCTCCCTCTCCCCGGTTGCCAGCACGGATTCCCAGCCTGCAACTCCGGGGGCCTCTGGTTCCAGGCTCATCTATCATGTGCTATGAACTGAAAGTCTAGTCTAGATCAGTTCCATGAGGAGGGCCTATTATGCAGGAGGAAGGAAGCCCCGAAAGTTCAAGAGCAAGACAAGTTGTATATAAAGATTTCCTTTGCGTTGTAAATGTGTAAATACCATCTTGCCACTTTATACAAAAGTGTATTTAACTAAAAAGTCACCATTGCAATTAATACTTTATTCCTTTTCTCCTCCTCCTCCACCTCCTCCTTTAGCTCCTTCTTCGCTTTAGATATATAGCTCCAATAATATTCTTTCCGATAGGGGGCAATTCATTGAAGATAGCTTGTTGCAATGCTTAACTTATATATTTTTTATAAATATTGCTAATCAAAATATTATGTCTGATGTTAGATCTTTATTTTTTTTTCTTTAAAACATTAGGACAGCTGGAAATCAGTTACAGGAAACCTTAAATATATTTAACTTTTGTTTTCCTATTAACCTTTTGGTGATATTGTATTAAGTAAGAACGTAACAACACTGCCTAACGGTATCTATTTTGGTCTTTGCTTATAAGGAATGCATCTTGTTAATGTAAGCACAAAATAGTACTTTGTGGATAATTTCAAGAAATAAGAAATTTTGGAAATTCCACCATAAATAAAACTGTTTAGACGAAGAAATATTCTGATTCATGTTTTTTTAAAAAGAACACCCCTAATGGGATTAGCAATCACTGACACAAAACCTTAAGGTGGTCCTGAAAATAACAAAATAGCTGGCTTTGTGGATACATTTGAACGTTTACCATCTCTCAGTCGCAGCTGAGGTCCTGTTGATGTCGCAAATGAAGAGAACATTTCTATTTTAATCAGCTTTCATGGGAGCCTGCTAAATACAATTTTTCCCTTATCTTAGCACCGTGCCATCTAATGTCAAATTGTGGGTGCGTGGAGGAAAAGTAGAAGTTATTCAGGACAAGACAACATGTTTCAACGAAAAGAAAGTACAATATTACATCATTTTAATACCTATGGTACATTAGGAATCTTGAGTTAGATAATACATACTTTATCTACTTGCCTGAAAATATCTCAATATATTAACATGTTAATATTGTCAATAAAATATTTAAAAGCATTGAACCGATTTCTTTTGTATTATTAGGTACTAGAATAAGAAAACTTACGCAAACTATAGTAAAGTGAAACAGCCTGCAATTGGTTGCCTTTTTTCACTGCTTTTTTGATTTTATTAATCGCATTTGTGTGTGTGTGTGTGTGTGTACGATGGCCATGCATTCTTTTATTGTTCATCACTTTAAATCTCCTTTAGCAAGGATTGAGATTTTAAAAAATGGAACAATTGAGTGGAAAATAGGTTGAGACGATCGTTGAGATAATTCTCACAAGTTTACCAGTGGGAGAGATACAAAGGAAATATCCTTGAAGCGTCTAAACTAACTGTTCACAGACAGAAAAGATAATTGTTTCATTCTCTAATTTGTACTTTCACTTAAAGTGGCTAAGGGTTATGTCATGCATAGTAATCATCAACCAGACTCTGCTAGAGCTTGGCAATTATACTGTTCTCGGGAACTTCTTCCCTTCTTTCCGATACGATTTTTCTTGTGCTTGTCCAGGAATGAGGTTTAAAAGAATGGAAATTATTCTATAAAGGGAGGGAGAGATGAAGGGCTGAGTTCAGCAGATAATGTAGCCACCTGTTCTGTTAGCATCCTGCCCTGATAGGGATGCTGACTTTTGGCACAGAGGTCAATCGTTCTCCACCTTTGGTCTGAGAGTGTGAGGCCTCGAGGTAGGAGAATTCAGGAAGGCACGACAGAGATGTACGCATAGTTCCCGCATGAATTTGAGTCATTCACCCTCAACGGGCCCTGTGCTAGGCACACTCTCTTTTTCACACTTTCGTGGAGAGATTGGGGATGTGTCATTCTCCGTAGAATTAGAATAAAGGGAACCATCCAAAGATTGGTTTGATTTTTTAAAGTTCGAGTCTAAGACAAATGACCTTACTCTGTTCCATTTAATACAAGCAAGCAGAGAATATCATGGAGTTTTAATTCAAGTGAATAAAAATTGACTTACTTTCTTCTATGTTTCCAAAATTCTATGACTTGTAAATGTGTCTGATATTCTTGGTGAAGATTATAGGGCCTCCAAGTGTTCAGTTAGCCTCTCTCTGGCGGTCTGGAGTGAATCTAGGTGGTGATCCATGTGTCATTGAAGATGAGACCGTCCATGCCAACGCACTCGATTATTCTCATTTGCAGTGTATGAACCTCGGAGGCTGGTGTCTCCCCAGCACACAGCTTGGCACAACGTATCACACAGTCCCATATACTTTTTTGACATGGGGCCTTTGAGAATTGGCTCTCCACTAGCCCAGACCCAGGAAAGTCTCTTCTCAGGGGGCTGCCTTCCATAAATCCCCCAAGTGAATGGTTGGGCCTCACTGAATCCCCCCCCACCCCCCCCCACCCCCGTCCATCTCAGCGGGTGGGAGAATGCAACCAACGGGCAAATTTCTAGGAGAAAAGAGGAAAATGTTCCTCTTGCTATCTGCAGACCTGGCGGGGAGAAGGCTCTCAGGAAATAGAGTCAAAAGGAGACCCCTTTCTCCCTAAGCCTGAGAAACACAAGCTTACTGGGTTACACAGGAGACCTGTGGCTCGTGAGGTTATAGAAACTGGGAAGCGTTTTTTGGAAGCCGGCTGCTCCACCAATCAAGGCGTCCTGATTGCCCCTGTTTTTTGTTTCTGTTTTGTTTTGCACATTTGGAAGATGCAAGTTAGGCAAAAATAGTGGCTATCTCCTACCCACAAATTCCTCCCTAACATGGCATTCCTACAATTACTTAATCTGAGAGAGATTTTCCCTGAAATTCTCTCTTTGGGGTTATAACAGTTACTAGATTAAAGGAGTAATTTAGGGACACCTGGGTGGCTCAGCGGTTGAGCGTCTGCCTGAAGGTCAGGTCGTGATCCTGGGGTCCCGGGATCGAGTCCCACAGGGGGCTCCCTGCAGGGAGCCTGCTTCTCCCTCTGCCTCTCTCTGTGTGTCTCGTGAATAAATAAATAAAATCTTTAAAAAAATAAAGTAGTAATTTAATTCCATGCCTTTCTTTTTCTGGGAAGGATATTAGAGCACACCTATCTGTGACTTCAGAGAGCCCTGCTGAAGTGGCAAAATCTGCCCTGAAAATTTCACCCCTGAATGTTTCTATATTGTCGCAAAAAGCGATTTCCTTTAAGAATTTCGATTATAAATATTTTGGTTGACTAGTGATTTAGTTGTTAACCTGGTACATTCGCTGACCAGAGGATCTAGCATTTAATCTAAAGTCTAACTGGGCCTAGAATTATTAATGTCTTGCTCTCTTTTCAGTTTTTACTTGCCGTATCTGTAAAATGGGGTAAATGATGGTTTGTGACGAGATTACAAATAGTTACTACTAACATTATTAGAGTGCTAGAATACTACAAGCATAATTTCTTTATAAAGAGGAAAATAAGCCAAATTTTAACTCCATTTATACTACTTAATTCATGTCATTATAGATTAAAGTGGGCACTAATGATAAAGCAGCAACTAGTAATTATTGAGAACTTCTCATTATGCAAATAAGGAAATTGAGGCTAAGCAGTTTAATAATTTGCCTAAGAAGGCTGTATTTGGACTGGCTAATCAGGCTCCTCCATAGCACATGTTTCAGCAGGTTCAGGCAGAGGTCACCTGATGCTTAAGACCTAGCATTGGAAGTTCCAGAACATTCTTCTGGTCAAGCAAGTTCCTAACGCCAGCCCAGAATCACCGAGGAGCAAATTAAACACTCCTTTTCAATGGAAGAAATAGTAATGAATTTGTAGATACGTTTCATCTACAACACTGACCAGTACATGCTTCCTCTGTTTCTTAAACTTTCGTCCATTTTACTCATTCAGTGTAATGTGGCTCTGCTTCTATCCCTATCCATAGTCAAGACGACTTTCAGATCAGTAGCCTTCTCGGCAAGAGAATACCCGCAGCCCGGAGGCCTCTCCTGATCTTCACTCCTGTATGTTCTTAACATTTCTTGAATATCTCAGTGGCACGTCCAACTCGATGTGTCCACCTTTCATCTCATGATGTTCTCTCTGGCTCCCGATCCCATAACCCAGCTGGCTCCTCTTCACTGTTGCTTCTCTCAGTGAATGGTATCACCAGTTACCTCAACATGAGGTTTAGGATTGACTTCTCATAAGTCAATCTCCCTTAACCTCTTGTCTAACTCCCTACAAAATCCTATACATTTATTCTCCTAAGTACCTCTCAAACCCCTGCCTTCAATCCAAGCTGTGGCTGTCTCTATCCAGGAATGTCGTAATATCCTCTTAACCTGCTCCCCCCCCCCCCACACCCCATATATATATTTTTTTTTTTTGGATCTCCCACTTCTGGAGACAGCATCCAAGGTTTTCTTTGGGGATTGTCCCTTTCCTTTTCTCAGACCCTGTGGTTCGGGTGGGGTTGCCTGTGCCATCCGACTCTAGAAGTAAACAAGTCATTCAGGCCTGACTATGAGTATGTCTCCTTTGGCCGTAAGGATTGTTTCATGGATGGATCTATGATTGTTCCAAGTTGGATGTTCCATGTTCCATGTTCCAACATGGATGGATCCAAGTTGTTCATCAAGTGCCAGTCCTGGGATAGTTGCTGACTAATAGGGGGTGGGGGGAGTTCTCCCTCTGCTAGGGGATAATACATGAGTTTTGTTTTTACTCTAGGCTGCCAGCTGCTATTTCACCCCCAAGAGAGGAAATTCCACCTAAAAAAGCCAATGTAATAGTCAAGCTGTGCCTGTGGTGCCAAGAGTTACATTCCTGAAAACGAGGTTAAGTACCCAGATCCCACTATACCGGAGCATCTGCTGTTGGCCGTGCTGTATGGTTTTGGGACCAACAAGTTCTCTTTTCCCTTAAACCAGTGTAAGTGGGAACTTTGTTAAAACTGAAAGAATCTTGCATAATACCATTCTTTGATCTTC